AGATAAGTTTCATCGAGAAGAGTCAGTGGTCGGTGAAAGGGAAGGCAGGTGTACTCGTCCTAATGCACACACCTGCCCAGCAAATAGTTTACCGAGTCTCTCAGATTCCGCGGAAGGTCCTGCTTGCCCGCGAAGTAATCCCTTGCCCACTAATCGGCTTGTGATGATTTATTATGAAGCGCCCAGAGGTCGGGAAACATCCCTCAGGAGGAATCAATTTGGTTCTTACGTAAACGCTATCGGAGCTCGGCCATACTGTCGAGAAGCCGCGCGTGGCAAAGCGGCGTATGTCTCGACTACCTCCCCCCTGCCAGCCCCCCATCGTTGCCGTCCAACGTATAGCTACGTGTCTCCCATTCGCTTACCCCTTTTCAAATGGGACAGACAATATTATAAGCTGTCTTTTTCTTTCGACGGAATTCATATAGCATGAAATAAAAGAATCGATCGTTGCTAGGAATTCGCTGAAGAAGAGTCTCACGTGTCATGGATATTATTTTATTAGCCGTTAACAACGATTCGAGATACTAGTGTACATACAATGCTTATATACAAGATGGTATTTACATGGGAACGATAAAACGAATTTTATAAATGTAAATCATCTTCATGGAAGAAAACAAAACTCAAATATATTTTACATATCAGGTGCGTCTCTATGCAGTGGCTAATCCTAACCTAAGAGACATCCTGGACGACACAGCCACCCCAGTCTCAATTCGCGTCGTGTCCTTATCACTGGTGTAACTTCTTTGGCTTTTCTTCGAGGTTCGCGACTACTCGAAATGTGTTATACGATTCAACGTTACGGTGCGTTAAGGTGCGATACGATACGATTACAACACGAGATAAACGTACGAGGTGTCCGCACGCGACCACACGGGTATTCAATTCTATTTACACAGTGGAATAATTATTGCTGTACAGAATACTGTAGTCACTGGATAATCGTCCGGTAGGACCGGCCGCCAGTGTGGGATAAACCCCCTAATTTCGGACAATATTAAACCGTCGGCAGGCAGTGTTTAACCCTACGTTAAGCTGAGTAGCGGCCATCCTCGGGGTCGACGGGGTCGGCGGGGTAATCGGGGTAGCTCGCACAGTGCGGAGGGTGGAAGGGTGAAAGGGTGGAAGAGGGTGGAAGAGGGTGGAAGAGGGGGGAAGCAGCAGCGGGGCAGAAGGCAGGTTAGGTAGGTAGGTAGGTCGTGTGTATTTAAAACGTGAATGCGCGTCGCCCGATTCACTGTTTGAAGTTAAATGGAGTGTAAATGGCAGATAACAAACCGGTACTGTTTCCGATTACGGCATTCATTGTTTCCTACCATTATGCGCGCTCCGACGGTTTATGTGTGACGCGCCACGGTTTACGAGCTATTTATTGCCTTGCCCGAACCAATGTGCTTCGCAACTCTGCTTCGACCTACGGCTACTGTCTTGTTCTCTCTTTCTCTCTCTCTCTCTCTCTCTCTCTCTCTCTCTCTCTCTCTCTCTCTCTCTCATTCTCTCACTCACGCCTCAGCATCGTCTGGCTTCTCTGTTCTCCATCTCTGACACCCGCAGGTACACGGAGCAGAGAGGCCCAATTGTCATTCCAATTCGCTACGCGCGATCGTTCCGATTCGCACGTCTATTTACAGAATTCGGCTAACTATTATTGACTAGAGAGGGAACGCGCGATGATCAATCGCTCTTAACGTTATAATATGTCTCTTAAGTAGATACGTGATACTCTCTACGCGTAATGCCTATACGGAGGATAATCTTGAAAGGTATACTCTGCACGCGGCCACTCGGAAGCATTCATTGGCTCCTGTGGCTCCTGTGGATCCTGTGGATCCTGTGGATCCTATAGACATCCTTAGTTCTCGTATTCATAGACCGACCTCGTGGATGCGGAGATCGGTCCAGGCAGGTGGTCCTCTCGCAACTTGCGATGTCATTTCCCGTGCACCGGCGCTGTCCGCCGCTTCGTTTCGACCTGATGATCGACGATGGCGTCGCTCTCCTTGTCCTGATGGGCAGTCATGTGCCTGGTCAGGTGATGCCTTTCCCGGAAGCTTTCGTCACAAACGGGACACCTCAGCTTCTCCTCGCGGCGTCTTCTCGCGGCTTCTCCTGTGCTTTCGTGCTTGTGGTGTGATCTCATGTGATACACGAGGTCGGAGGTCATACGGAAGGAGAGGTTGCACTTGGCGCAAACATTTTGAGCCGGAAGCGTGAGAGCGGCGAAGGACGGCGGCAGGAGTCCGGCGACGCCGGCCGTCGCGAGGAATCGCGGCCGCGTCAGAGCCTCGGCCATCGGTGGAAATACAGAGATCGGATTGTATGGGAGATTCGGATAGACTGCAGGCAAGTCTGGACGAAATCCCGGCAACTTCGGACTGGGCACCTTCGGCGGCTGAGAGATTCGCGGAATCTTCAGATTCTCCAGAAGATTGTTCTGCTGAGGCTCGCTCCGACTCATGAGGAAGGGATAGGACATCTTGTTAGGGAAGGACGCGTACTTGTAGGACGTCGGAGGACCGTTGAGAGAAACGACCGGTGGGCTGACGCTGTTGCGATAATTCGATCGGTCTGGCGAGACCGAAGATCTCGGGGACATCTGTCCGTCTTCGAAGCCATTTCTGTGCGATTGCTGCTGCTGCTGCTGCTGCTGCTGATTGGCGAAGGCCACCTTAGTGAAGGCGCTCCTGGACTCAGCTCTGTCGGTGGCTCCCACCGCTCCGGTGATGCCCGGCTGGGAGTCCTGGCTCATCGGCTGGACCGCAGGATTCCTCTGAACGCCGAGGAGGCTCGGCGGACTCGGCGTCTTTTGCGTCCTTGGCACAACCGCGTAGGACCTGCCGGATTCCGGCGACAGACCCGGCAGCGTCGCAGTCAGCCGAGGAGACAAGTACGGCGGACTCAAAGAGTTCTCCGTGTAATGCCGACTGGCAGTTATCGTAAGATTCTGCGGGAACCTCTCGGAGTCCCGCTCGCTCGGCACTTCCGGTTCTTCTCGATCGAGCGTTCTACCCTCTACTACTAGTCTGTCCGAAGACACGAGCCTGAGCTTCTCGCTTTGACGCCTGGCCAGATTCTCGTCCGGTGCTACAAGGAACGCGACGTCGAAGGACCTCTTGGAAGAACGTTGCAAAGGGTAGGAGGCGTCGGAGCCAGGATGCGTAGTCCTGGCGCCTGTCGAGGAAGTAGTCGTCGCGATGGCAGGAGCGGCTCTGTCTACTCCTCCCGAACGATCCTCCATTGTCATCGTGGTTCGAGCTCTCTTGTTCCGGAGGCTGGATTAGAATCTCGCCCGTCGAGAGACCCTGAACACCATCATCATCGTAATCGTTAATAGGACCCTTTGCGTTAGCTCCATCGTGTGGTAGGTAAAGAGACAAAGGACTAAGAGCAATCGGTAACTGAACGGAACATGCGCTCGAAGGACGCATCGAAGCGTGCAGACTCACCCTGACAGGCAATCGAAGTATCCGTCAAAAATTCCTGAGATTCTCGTTGGACGGGCTGCAGGGGTCGACCCCGGCTCGGACTTCCAGATTCTCCAGGCTCCGACGAGGCGAAGAGTCTTTATGTGAAATAATGGCAGGGTCACTTTCGTGCGGAACGCGCGTCAACTCGTAACTGGGTTCTGTCGACGGCACGGACCGCCGGTCCACGTTCAAATGAGAATATCGTTCGCGCATCCCCCTATTTAGGGGTTAGTCGTCGAGTGGCTGAAGGCAGGTGGAGGCGGCTAAGGGTGGCCCGGGCCAATGGAAAGACTTCCACCCTCGTTCGAGGGAGGAGCGTCCAAGGGGTGAACATATTCGGTCGTCGGGACGCGTCTGCTAGCGTATCCGAGGCCACGCCTACATATTTCAGGTTCGACACATGTGCTCCATGCGCAGCAACACGCGGGATGCTGGGTACGTGTGTGCCTCTCACTATATTTCAGCCTGACAAACGGTCCTGAATATTTTTAAGGCTGCGGTTTTTCGAGGCGCTGGTTATTGGACTTTGGACAGACTCCACGACCCTAAGATGGATTCCCGAGCTCGAAATCGTTTTACCAGGAAGCGTCCCGACGCCGCCGTCGTTTCCCTAGAACTAGGAGTCACTTTGTCTTTTGAGCTGCCACTTCGCATCCAGAGAAATCGCTGACATGCCTGACATATTTGCACCCCCCGGAAGTAGCGTCCCGCCGCCGGGCGTCCAGTCGCGTTGGCCGGTCACTTTGGGCCACGGGAGCCTCCCTCCCCGTGGAGTAACGAGCCCTGCTAAATCGAGCGAACCGGACAGAAGGTACCGCCGCCGCCGCCGCCGCCGCCGCCGCCGCCGCCGAGAGTCCCGAGGATCCTCGAGAATCATCATTTTTCAGATTATCTTTTCGATGAATTTCACGTGGCGAATCTCGTAGCGACACGCGTCGCCCTTACCGCCCTTACCGCCCTCGCCTCTTCCTCCCCTCCTCCTCCTCTCTCTCTCTCTCTCTCTCCTTCTCCTTCTGCGAGCCACTCGAATTCTCATTGTCGGAGTAGCAAGAATTCGTGGGGAAAAAAGTGACGGTAGCCGCGAACCCAATAGGCGATCAATCATAATGCGGCAATCCATTTTGCTGGGCATGTGAGAACCGTCGACTTCTTGCGCCCGGTCCAAGATCCTCGACTCTCCAGGGAATTCCGAGAGGTTAAAGGACATTAACTTCTTGATTGAGTCGGCAAAAAGTTGTAATGACTTTTTGATTGGGCTTCGACTATCCGTGCTAATAGAACCGATCGCCAGGGAGCATTGCGTCTTTGATTTCACTGTCTCTCGGCGCGATGATAATGTAGCGAGTGATCAATTGGAGACGCGCGGCGTCCGCGGCACGCGTCGCGCACCAGGACGCCTAAAGATGCGCCGTAAGCAGCGCAGAGTCCTCTATCTTCCCAGTGACACTCGCGGATTATAAATAGTCCCGACTTATAGTCGATAGCATCGCTAGTCTCTGTTCCCGTGCGCGCTAAGGATCAAACGATACCGCAGCTAATTCCACTTTATGGGGTTGGAATGCGGCGACGCCTCCGTCGCCTCGTCGCTCCTTCAATGTAAATCATAGGAAGCACCAGGAGCGTCGCCTCGCACCTCAACGATTTCGCTCGTGGAAACTAACCTAAGCTCGCTCGGAACAGGCCAAACTGTCGATAAATGAGAACAAGTTTTAAGAGTTTCTCACGTGCGGGCGATCGTGGACCATCGCGGGCCATCTGCCTCTGTTATTTTGGGAAAGTGCCCTCGCGGGAGCTCTTTCGCTTGCGAGCAATCGCGTCGCCTCTTACTAATTCCTCCGAGCTAAAGCGCGCCGCTCTCCTCTCTTTGGTCCATGGGGTCACACGCGTTCCCGGCACGTGTCGGTCCGCCACGCGTCCGCAGTTAGCGCGACACCACCGACTGCACCAGCACAGCGACAGCCCCTGCGCTTACGCGCGCTTACGTGAGCGCTTACGTGCGACACCTCTCGCTGCTGCTCAGCAGCCTCGAATCTTCCTACGGAGCAGCGCGCCGTTAAGATGAAACCGTTCCAGCTCGCTTTTCAGAACCCGAGATTCTTTATCGCGTCTCTCGGTGTTTTCGCGAATCAAGGAGAATCGCGACTGGTAGAACTGCGGGTCCTGATGCTCGACTGACAAATGATGCTGCGTCGTCGAACCTCATCGGGTACATATTCATCACGGGAAGCAGAGGTTACGCAGCGCGATTCACGGTTCATCATTCACTTAAAGTCCTCGCCAAAATCAATAGCATTCGTTAGGCTTTCTCCGTCGAAGGATTCCAGATAAATTGAAGCTGCGATGAACTCGGTGGATTGTTTTAATAAACGAGAGCGCTGGAGCTGCGAGGGAAATTCTTCGGCTGGGTGGGAAAGATTTAGATTTCACGGACGCTTGAGCAATTCGTTGACTTATCGCGGCGACCGTGCATATCAAGTAGCTAAGTGAGCGAGTCGCGGTGCCTTTCCGAGGAAAGTACTGGACCAGCTGGGACGGAGGGTTGGAGGGAAGCTGCGGGGTCAAAGAGTCAAACGGACGTGGTAGCCGCTCTTGGAAAAGGGTTAGATGCGTCCTTTGGCGTCCCGTGACGTCACGCGAGGAGCCTAAGTCGATCTAGCACCGCGCGGAATTCGTTCGCGCTCTGCTATCGGATGTGCGATATCGTATAGCGCAGGCTGCCTGGGGAATTTAATTCAGAGTCACAGAGCCAACTAAGATGCCTTCGGTTCTTATCTCTGTGCACACGGTGGCTGCGCGTGTCGTTGCTTATGTGTTACGTGAATCTCTTACCTAAGAGCCAGGAAACGCCAGAGACGATTCTGCGTGCGGTTACGTTCACCGAGGGTGCCTGAATTAATGTTCTCCTCTGTGTTTCGTATCGCACGGTGCTATCTTACCCTCGAAGTCGACGCCGACGCCGACGCCGAACGCCACAGGGAACGTGAGCCGAGTCGACGAGAAGTTTGAAAATTAATGCGAGAAGTGCGTCAGTGTTCCGTCGACAAGGAAAACTTTTAAGAGGACAGGCTGACGTTTCCAGAGTCATGCAGCCGCTGGAAGCTGTACAGATGCGCTGTACAGTGGAGAACGAGGAGACGAGGAGACGAGGAGACGAGGAGCCACTGGCCTATTACGTATCAGATATTAGTCATTCGATTGGGAGTCGTGCCACGCTAACGACACGTCTAAATATTCATATGCCATTAATCACAGTGATGACTGGTCGAAATTGTCGGCCATGTGCTCAAACGCTCTTAAGAGCATTCCGCTAACACCCATTTAATTCGTATTGATGGCTGCTCTTCTCGTTGGCTTGCCAACCTACAGCCTCTGCTCCTACTCTTCTACACTCCTCCATCTTCTCCATCTTCTCCATCGTCTCCATCTTCTTCGTCTTCTTAGCTGCTGCTTCCACTGGCAGGGACGGAAAGGGAGTATCGGGCTCCACGTAGGTACAGTGGCGATTAACGATCCTCTTTCAGCCGACCTGGACTCAGCTGGGATCAGGATGTCAGCTTCAAGTTGAAGAGGCAGGGTCCTTTGTTTCGCGAATAGCGGAAAGAAGAGTCGCGAAGAAGCGCGGTGCTTTCCATCCCCGCGACAGGTTTACGGTTATTTTTCGCGAATTTTTATATTCGCCGGCCTCACTCGCTCTGGGTACCTCCGGGCGTCAGGGGGACGGTGCCAGTGCCGGTGGCGGCAAAGATTCCTGCTGCCGAGACGAGAGGGGAAGTTATTAGAATGGCCCGGAAAAGATGGCGCGGAGTCGCTCCGTATTTTTATACTGTATGGCCGCTGTTTTGCATAATCCCGCACTTAGCTCGCTCGTCCCGAGATGCCGACTCGCGCTATGCAGATCTCGCCGCTCCGCTCGCCGAACTCGAATCTTTCGCGGAACCTTCCAGCTTTCCACCGTTCCACCGTTCCAACGTTCCGCCGTTTCCCCAAATGATGGACGACGTGCCTCGGCAGCCAAACTCCTTCAGAGTCTCTTTCCGCCACATTCCCATCTTACTTCCAGTCGCTCGAATCGGCAGAGAGGCGTCCAGGAGGAAAGACGTCCCCTGGACGTCCAGACTCCTCGCTCCGTAAGTCCAGGAGTCCGTAATGACACGAAGCACCTATGTCCCGGGGCGGATGTGCTACATTGTACTTCCGGTTACGTAAGCCCTCTCTCTCTCTCTCTCTCTCTCTCTCTCTCTCTCTCTCTCTCTCTCTTTGTCTGGACGCAAATCTGCCAGAGAATCTCGCCGCTTCTCTGGACACTTGGCGAATCAGCCCATTCCTTCTTCTCGTTCCTGTTGTTCCTCCTGCTCGCCTCTTCTCCCGAGGCGACGCCTGCCGCGTCATCAATCTTGCTGCGGGATGAGCTTGGGGTG